CCAGGTGTCATTGTGACTGAAAATGAAACAACATTTATGCCTGCAGAATGGTACAGACTTGGGATAGCAGGGTTTACTGACTCAGGGCTTGGGAGCTAACCTTTGTTGGTTAGCCACTCAGAAGACATCAGCTAGAAGCACGAGATAGAATAGTAGGCCTCGTCTTTGATTTTTATTCTTGCCTCTCCTGCGGCTGACTCCTACAGGGATTTTTTTTAATATCTATTACTTTTATCCATCCATTTTTCTGCTTGTCTTCATTCACTATGTAAAAATAGAAATAATAAAAACTCATGAATTACACAGATATTTTAGTTAAAATCAGAAGTTGGGTGTGAATAGTGATCTGAGTAGATGTAATCACAATAAATGAGACCATCTCTAAGCTTACCTTTAGCTCTCTGCTGAAGTGCATGTTAACAGTCTTGGCTTGAGTTTCAGGATACACAGAGAAATAAAAAAAAAAAAATTGTTTCCCATCCATTCATGGGAGCAAACAGACAGAGAAAAGGAAAAAAAGAAGAATGGGCTGAATGCTGGAAGCTATCTCAGTGTCCACCCTCATGCACGGTGGTGCATTTCCTGTCTGGGACAGGATGCCTCCAACAGCCAGAATCTATAGACAGCCCAGAGGCCAAGGTGACATGGACTGTATCAAAACCAAAACTAATTTGTGTTCAGATATAAACTCTAAATTAATAAATCCAGAAGAGGGACAGCTCACCTGGAGAAGTTAGCCGTGAATGTCAGCTTCATTACTGCATCTACCCAACGCAGATCAAAGCCATTGTTACAGATTACATTTTAGCACATTGCTTCAGTTACAGTATTTCCTCTTTATACAGCAGTTCACAAAAGCTAAGTTAAATTTGTTCTTTTTCTCCTGATGAATAACTCATTATTACCAACCTGAAAAAGAGGTTTACTAGACACCTGCATATGACTCAGTCTGCCTCAAACAGCAGGAATCCTTTCCCTCCCTAATTTTGTCCCCCAAATCCTACCCACAGACCTTTCATTTTTTACTGGGCCAGTGGAATTCCTGTTTAAAACAGATATTATTGGTTGGATGTGAATATGTGAAAAGTTCCCTTAAAGGATACTCCTACCCCATAACATGGTATTCATGAAGCAAAAATCTGATAAAGTATGTTAAGTCACATAATAGGAGTTAATTCTGCTTCACTGGAGTTTTTTTCCACATACCAGAACTAGAAGAGAGTTTTATTGAATTGTATGTGCTGCTACTTATTTTATTTTACATTCTGACCTTCTCAGTTCATTCTTCAAAACATTCCCTTATATTTCATATTAAAAGAGTATTTTCCAAGGAAAGAGGATGTGGATTCTCAACACAAAATTTCATTTTTCCTTGTACTGCAAATCCAGTTCAATCCCTACCTGAATATTAACTAAACTTAAAATGCTGTCTATGGCCGGGTTTGTGCCACTGTACACAGGTGCATATCTGCAATAATCTTTTTCATCCACTGCTATGAGGTTAACAGTAGTTGTTCAGAAAAGTGTCCCTGGAGGGACAGTGGTCAAACTCCCCTACACAGAAGTGATAGCCATCAAGGTCCAATGAAAATGAAATGAGTTACATCAAAGTCAAAAACATGACCAACAGCAAATGTTGGACAGGCTGTGGGGAAAAGGGAACCCTTCTCCACTGCTGGTGGGAATGTAGGCTGGTACAACCATTATGGAAATCAGTGTAGAGACTCCTTAAAAAGCTAGGACTAGAAATCCCATTCAAACCAGTTATCTCCCTACTGGGAATTTTCCTGGAGGAACTGAAAACATCATATCATAGTGATATATGTGTACTGATGTTTATATCAGTACAATTTATGATAGCCAAATCTTGGAAACAACTAAGATGCCCGTCACCTGAGGAATGGATGAAAAAGCTGTGGTATTTTTATACAATGGAGTATTACTCAGCTATAAAGAATGATAAACTCGAAGCCTTCATATTTAAGTGTATGCCACTTGAAGATATACTCATAAATGAAATAAACCAGACCCACGTATGTAAATATCATATAGTCTCCTTAGTATAAGAAGTCAGAAGAAGAAATACAATAGAAAGGTATAATACAATTAAAAGGAAAGCAAGAACTTAAGGAATAGACAATGAAGAGAGAGCAAGGAGAAGAGCTAGGAAACATGACAGAGGCAAAGTCATACAGTTATATGTATAAGATGGATAAGGCAATGATCCTGAGAATCTAGCAGTTAATTGGAAGGATTCTCACCCTGATTAACTATATATGCTGACACCTGTGAACTAAGCAATGGCACTGAAGATGGCAATTTGTAATAGTAGGTTCATGCTTGGAGTGCCTGTCATTCTGGTCTTCTCAATACATGTTACTTGTCATGACATGCCGGTTGCTGCTGTGCTGTCTCTTGGGTAGATGTTTGTTTAGAAAGGAAGGGGGGTGGTGAATGAAGGCAGGAGACAGGAAAAGGAGTGTTGCAGGGCTGTCCTGGTATAATTCTGTATAAGATTAGATTTCTGGACTTATGTGTAGATATATATAATTGTTTATTCCTATTTTTAAAACATTTTAATTTTTTAATTTTTTTTCATCATATTCTGTAGGGACTTAAAGTTTAACATATCAAAACTTGGTGAAAAATACCTGTTCCATGTTTTGCCTAAGATGTTTGATATTTAGACAGATGGTAAGGTTAAGCTCAACAGCCTAGATGGTATGGTAATAACAATAAACTTCTTTTCTGGAGGGTTAGCAAACTAAGTTTGTAGACAAAAATTAGAGAAAAAGGAGGGCCACAAGGAAAGCCAACATTTTGGCCCTAGCCTTCCAAGGCCAATTAAGACTCAGGATATCTGAGAACCTGTACTGTAACATCATGTAACTCAGTTGTATCCCAAATTTTCTGATCAAGGAGATTATGGGGCCAAAGAGGAAAGTGATCGATGATGTAGAGTGTGCCTAAGGAGAGTCACATGGAGAGAAAACACTCTCTCAGGCTTTCACAGAGAGCACATTGGCCAAGCAATGGCCGTGACTCATCCACATGGCTGACACTGACAAAGGTTCTACAGTCTGAGGTACAGGGTCTCAGAATAAATCCTGAGGGGATTTGATTGACCTTATCAGATCCAAAAGCTACAAGTCTTATTACATGGGTCTTGCTTATCTTGGTCTTAACCATCCAGCAGAAAAGTATAAAAACAAAGTATAAGAAGTAAAGCCATGGTGTTATGTTGAGCTGTAGGCGACTCAGGTCAACAACTTCTGACACTGCCAGTGAAGCAGAAGACCCAATACTATTATGGACTACTGGACTATTTTGGAATATTTTGCTGAGTTCACACACCTATAATATTTAAATGACGGAACTAAACAAAAAAAGGGGATACAGATGAATGACCGTTTTGTATCTGTGTATTCAAAATGGTTAGGATAGATATACAGCTACATTATTTTAATTCAATGAATAGAGGGATTTGTTCTAATAGTGTTTTTAAATAGGATATCATGTCTGCATCTTGTACAACAAATGATCACTAGGAAGACAGTATGCAGTGTGTTAATTATTGAAACTGCCCTACTAATTTGATTTGAAACTGTCTCATTGCTATTTGTTTCTCAATTAAATTATGGGGAAAAAGTCAATAACATGTGGAATCGACGAATAAATAGAAGACCTAAGACGATAAACCTCATAGCAGAAAAGAGGGTAAATCTTCCTGACTTTTGACTTTGCGGTGCGTACTTAGATTATAATCCAAGCAGCACAAGCAACAAGAGAAAAAGACAGACAAATCAAACTTTATCATAGTGTAAAACTTTCATGTATCAAGGAGGAGAAGGACAGCCACCAACACAGGAGATGATAGTAGTAAATCGTGTGTCTGACGGACATAGTCCAGACAGGATAGAGAACTCTTTCAACTCAGCAACACAAAGGTGGGTAGTCATATTTTAAGATAACAAAGGACTTGAGTACATTTTTTTTTCTCCAAGGATTTAAAAAAACAGCCAACAAACTCATGAAAAGATGTGCAATGTCATTAGTTTTTAGGGAAATGCACATCCGAAACCACCATGAGATACCTGTGTACATCCTCAGGAGGGCTCCAGATCTTCCTTAAATGGAAACTGACAAAAATGGGCAAGGACATGCAGAAACTGGGATCCTTGTTCTTTGCAAAAATACCTCTGCTCTTATGGAGAGCATTTTGGCATTTCCCAAGAAGTTTAACATTGGGTTACCAATGGCTCCCAATTTCTGCTTCTGAGTATATACAGAAAGAGGTTAAAGACAAAGGCCAGACAGGTGCATGCACCCCACAGGCCTAGCAGCCCAGTTTGCAGCATCCATAAGGTGGCCAAACACCCATCAACACATGGTTGTATATGCACACAAACAACGGAATATTACTCATCCACGAAAAGGGATGAAATGCTTGACTCTGCGACCAGGATGAACCTCCAAAATGCTGTATTAGGAGAAAGAAGCCAAACACTTAAGGTCATATGTTGTGTGAGTCAATTTAAACAAAATAGCCAGAGTAGTTTAATCAATACACACAGAGGGAAACCTATGATTTCCAGGCTTGAAGGTAGAGAGGAACCTGGGAGATACTGCTTACTGGGTGAGAGGGTTTTGTTTAGAGAAATGGAAATATTTTGCAGCTAGGTAGAAGTGGTTGCACAACCTTGTGTGTACTGAATGCCACTGAATTGTCTCCTTCGAAATGCCTAATTTATGTTATGTGAAATTTTCACCTCAATAAACAAAGCAAGAAGTCAATATTGCAAAGTAAATGTGATTTGAGCTACATTCCTAGAGCCACTTTACAAGCACATTATTGTGCTTGTTCCTCATTACAGTTGATAGAGTTACGAGTAGCGCATAGGGTCTGAATGACCAGCAATAGATCTCACATGCAGCTTGGGTGTGCAAAGTCAACGTAAGAAAATTAATCGATTTCCTTTTTGTTGTGGTTGTTCTTTCAGGACTCTCAGCTGGTATCCTCCGGACACAATAACCCAAGTAAGAAAGGCTTCTCTGCTACTCTGCGGGTGTGGCAGGGGGGTGGTAGGCAGATGTGATCCACAGTAGGTTTACAAGCAACTCACTGAAAAACAAAATTGAGTGGGAAAAGGAGAGGCATTTGTTCGAGTGCTGCATGCATGGAAGGTAGGACTGACAGTGATTTTGAGCACTGACCTGCAAAACAGAAAACAGTGAGTTTCAAAGTGAGCATAGGAGAAAGGATCTTCATGCTTATCATAGTCCCTAGTAGGTGAGGAGGGGAAAAAATATAAATGAAAAGGAATAGGTAAACAAGCGATCTGAAGCCCTCAAGATAAATGGCCTTAGAATCTATAATGAAAAGTTACAACTTGCTAGATTAGCCATGCCCTGTTCCAGATAAAGACAGGCTAGGCTCTTTAGGAAGTAGCTTCCTCCTGGAATCAGTGGCTAATGAAACACATGGGCTTTGTCATCAAAGAGAGTGGCGTTCTGCAAGGCAGTGTTTTCGTTCTCTTCTTTGGCACTACTAATTGGTATTAATTTGGTCTGGGGCATTAAAAATGCATAAGCTATGCTCTTTGCGTCCTGAGAGCAGCTCACAAAGACAGGGCTTTGTTACTTTCATGAGAACAGTGAGCGCAGAGCACCCTTTGTCAGTGACATAGCTGTGTCTGCAGATGAGGACAACTGTGAGGTAGAAGAGAGGTCTGTGCATGCAAGGCTCACCCGCTGGGCATAAGAATCAGGGAAAAGAGGCATTTGGGCAAAAGCCTGTGGAAGTATTGCTAGAGAAAGGCAGGGTGGCAGATAGATGGCAACCCCAAGTGTGGGCAATGTCATTCAGTTATCCCGCCCTCTGCTGGGATTTGCTGTGGCTGCAGACACCAGTGAGGAGTTTTTCTAAGACCTTTGCTAAGACAAGTTTCCCCTCACTTTCTGAATCTTCAGTAAGCTTCTGTTTTATCAAGATGTTGAATAGCTTATTGAATATTTAGATAGTAAAACCGATGATGTGTATTTACATTTATTAAAGTGATAAGAATGCCTGTCCCAGTGGCAGCTGCACATACACATATCACCCATCCCCTTCAGAATCCCACTTACTGACTGTAAAGCTATAGAGATGAAAGAAACCCCCATCAGCGCTTAGAGCATGGAAGCCTGCCGTCAGCAGACCAGAAACTGAGCTGCATTTCTGGAGAGTAGATAGGCAGCCTACAGACAAATAATCCTGAGCAAGGAAAGCCATCACCAGGCAGAACAAGAATCAGAGAGGGTGGGGGTTGCAGCCCTCCAGAGCCCCAGTGGAGACGCTGGATGGCCAGAGGAAGCCTGTTAGCCTCACAGCCCATCCCTGCTGATGCTCATACAGAGGTTTTGGTCTGACTCTCCTCCCAGAAGCTCCAAAGAACAAGACAGTGGTATTTTCCTTAAAAATGAAGTCGACCAAAATTAGATGGGAACTGCTATGTATGTAAGAGAAACAGTACATTCTAAGGTAGCGCAAGACCGCTAAAGGATACATAAATAAGTGGTAGAAGAAAAGTCAGCTTTCTCTAGAGGAAAATAAACAAGAAATCTACAAGTCTAAATTAAAGTACTTCCTGCTTTATTCTGTTTTTTGTTTTTGTTTTCTGTACTGAAGATTGAACTATTCCCACTGAGCTACAGCCCCAGGTCTTTTGATTTGGACACTGAATTTTCAGACAGGGCCTAAGGTGCTAAGTTCTGCAGACTGGCTTCAAACTTGAAATCCTAGGGCTGGCAAGATAGCTCAGCAGACTAAAGCACCTGCTTAGGCAGACGCAGCGACCAGGGTTCGATAGCTGGCATGCTGTGCCAGCCCCATCCCTGGGGCATGCTGAGTGCGACTGAGACTGGGCTTGGTGGCACATACCTGTAGTCCAAGGAGGATCTGAAAAGAGGAGGATCACTTGGGAGGCTGAAAAGAGGAGGATCACTACAAGTCCTATCTGTGTAGTAAGACCCTATAAACCCTGTACAAAATACATTTTGAAAAAAAAAAAAAAAAAGTGTAGCAAACTTGAAATCCTTCTGCCTCAGCCTCTCACAGTGCTGAATCACGGGCACATGCCATTACCTCTGATTTATTTCCTAGTTGTTGTGGGTTGGGCAGTAAAGGGAAGTTTGACTGGAAGCCTCTCTTCTCTGATCTTCTGGTCAACATGCCCTGTCTTCTTATAAACAAGCCCTTTAAATCAGCTGTTCCCAGAAGAAATGAGTGTGTTAGAAGAATCAGTGAGTATCCATCACAGGAAGTCCACACTACTTATTTTGTTTATAAACCTGTTATTTGAACACACAAGTGTGTAACCCATGAGCACCCAGGAGTCTGGCCCCAGAGGAAACCTAGCTAATTCAAGAAAAGGAACCAAAGAGTCTCAAGTATAATTGAAATGTTCAGAAAGATCTGAAATTGTTTATATTATTTGAACAGACTAAACTAATTACTGAAAAAACAAACAAGAATTAAAGATATGATCAACAAAATAAAAAGCTAATAGAATTTTATGAAAGGCTTGGGTAATAGTTGAAGTCGAGAATGTGGAATATAGAGTTAAAACGGAAACAAAAAGCCAGAAGTGGTGGCACACATCTGTAATCCCAGCACTGGAGAGGCTGAGACAGAAGGATCACTGTGAGTTTGAGGCCAGCCTGGGCTACAGAGTGAGTTCAAGGCCGGCCTAGAATATACAGTGAGACTTTGTCTCAAAAAAAACCAAAACAACAACAACATAGGAACGAGAGTAAAACTCAGATAATCAGGATGGGAAAATAAAAGTCCATCTATTAGGAAGACCGAAGAAAGAAAAACTCTGAATAATAAGTATGATTAGAAATGAATACTATTCCCAGTAAAATGACTTACAGCAAATAAATACATAAGTAAATAAATACACTATATAAAAGGAAACAAGACTATCTGCTAGACACAAAAAAATTATCAACAGTGGAAATCGTACTGCTCATTCAGATACTGGAGTTATCAAGCCTAGACTAACATAGGAGTTGTTACTTTAACTTCCAGAAATAGAAGAGAAGGTTACAAATGTGGCAAATAAGATCTGAATATGAGCCAGGTTGAATGGCAGAGATTCACACAGATGCACTGCTCAGAACTCATCCATAAAGGAAAAGCCACCTTAAAATACCCTTCATATTTTCAAAAAGGAGCGAGCTTTCACTGAGCACCCAGCACCAGCATGGGACAGACAAGGAAATCGTAACTTCAGTACTTTGAGGAAAAAAAAAAAAATCACTACCTGAAAATTTTGTTATGGTTTTGTTTCTTTCTTACAAAAAAATTTAAAAGAATGATACTTTCAAACAGATAAAAGCTAGGAGAAGTTGCTGCCATCAGAACCTAGAAAAACAAAATTCCAAAAGATACACCTTGTTCTCGAGAAAGGGGAGCTGTAAGAACAATTGAACAGCACAGAAAGCAAAAACGAGACATCCAAACACTGTGGCTAGCTGCAAACAGGGATATATTGTGAGGTAATAAAAATAAAAACATGGCTGGAATATAAAAAAAAAACAAAATGAGGAAAACTTTAGATTAGAAAAGATAGGACATGGAAGCTAAGAAATTATTACTATTATCCTTAGTTTCTCTACTTGGGAGAAGAGTAAAAACACTAACTTTGGACTTCAAAATATTAAGTAGCTACAATTTTTAGGATAATCATAAACCATAAGAAGAGGGTGTTTAACTTGCAAATAAAATGTGAAAAGCATCTTACAGACCGAGATAAAAATGGAATGTGAAAATATTATCAGTGTATCTCAAAGAATTAAAAAAATAGAAAATGAACAGAGTATATGGAAAGGTATAATGGCATAAATGAAATGAAATCAATAACTTAAACCAATGTATTGAATTCTGTGTTTAAATGACACATACAGTATTGTCTAACTGATTTAAAAATAAAACTCCAGGTCTATCTTGTTTACAGTGACATATTGAAAAATTGAAGATTCAGAAAATTTGAAAGAAAATAGTATAAGAAAATTGGCCGACGAGATAGTTCAGCAGACTAAGCGCCTGCTTAGGCAAGCTCAGGGATCTGAGTTCCATCCCCAGCACCACATGCCACATGCCAGCCCTGACCCCGGGCATGCTGACCCAGCCACTAAGACCGAGTGTGGTGGCCATGCCTGTAATCCCAGCCCTGGGGAGGCTGAAAACAGAAGGAGCACTACAAGTCAAGCTGCATAGTGAGACCCCGTACTAAATACATAAAAAAATAAGAAAAAAAATATATGCCAGGAAATTACCAATGAAACAAAAGATGTTATATTTATTTTAAACCCATAAAAATAAACAGTAAACAAGAGCATTATGAAAGAGGACTATCACACAAGGAAAAACATAGCTTACCACACAGATGAAAGAATTTTTTTTTTCCAGTTGTGACTCCAGACAGGATCCAAAGAGGAGTTTCAGGCTCTTCTCTGGGTTTTATGGAGGCTTCCTTTACCCTTCTGTGTTAGCCTCTTAAGGCACTGTGTCAACCTTAAAAGGGCACAGGAAAGGGTGATGAAAGAATTTTAAACTTGAAAATTTTGGCTAATGTAGCTTCAAAGTTTTGAAAGCAAACATCAAGTTATAAGGAGAAGTCCATCTTATTTGTAGATAGAAACACAAATTAGCAATTGTGACATAATACAGACCAAAAAAATTAACAAGAGCCCATGACCCAGAAACTACAATATATGTTGTACATTTAAGCAAACCAGGAGCACTTAGAAAAATTGACAGTGCATTAGACCACAAAACAAGTTTCAATGTGTTGCAGAGACTCGGTATTTCGCTGACCATGGTCACTGACCACAATATGATTAAATTAGGAAGTGATAACAAGAAGAAAATTAGGAGTCAAGACACAAATTTTAGGAATTAAAAAGTACATTTGAAATGGAAAGATAATTTTAAAATGCAGTATTAAAACTGGGAAATATAAGTAAATGGGAGGGAAATTTGTAACTTTAAA